ACTCACCTCGTATGTGCTTTTCATGTCTCCTTTTTTCTAAGTTTTCCTTTTCGTTTCAGTTCCTCTCCCTCTTCTTAGTCTCTTTGGTTTCTCCCTGAAATTAAATAATTTTCCATCCCCCTCTTTCTCTCTGTCTTCTCTGCCCCTTCTCCCGTTCTTCCCACTTCTTCTCTTCCTCTCCTTCCTCCGCTTTCTTTTTTTCTCCATCCTTTTCCCTCTCTCTCTCTCTCTCTCTCTCTCTCTCTCTCTCTCTCTCTCTCTCTCTCTCTCTCTCTCTCTCTCTCTCTCTCTCTCTCTCTCTCCTCTCTCTCTCTCTCTCTCTCTCTCTCTCTCTCTCTCTCTCTCTCTCCCTCCTCCCTCCCTCCTCTCTCTCTCTCCCTCTCCTCTCCCTCTCTCTCCCTCTCTTTCTCTCCCTCCCTCCCTCCCTCCCTCCCTCCCTACCCCCCGCCCTCTCCCTCACCTAGCAGCCCCGTTTCACCCTACACGCTCAGAGTGAAATTACAGCATGTGATCAATGGACACTAACGACGCCAGGAACATGGGCAACATACGTAAATAAAAATAGCATCGCATTTGGGTAAAACTTGAATACCGTAATTTCGTCAAGGCTGCGTCTGCCTCGGGTGTATATATATATATACGTGTTTGTTGCGTGTGTGTTTGTATAAAGTTCCGAATGTTAATATGATGGGGGATGAAGAGAGATGAATGTGAGGGGGGAGGGGGGGAAGAGGGGTGGATGGAGAGTAGAAAGGTGGGGGGGGGGAAGGGAGGGATGGATGGAGAGAGAAGGGGAGGCTGGAGAGTGGAGGGGTGGGGGGAGAAAGCGGTCGATAGTGGGAAAGGGTATGTGTATATAGGAAAAGGGTGTGGATACGAGTATGTTAAAGGGAAGTGAATGAAAGAGAGGGAAGGGATAGGTTTGAAGAGGAGGGTAAGGTATAAGTATACGATCACACCCTTTATCTCTTGATTGGACGCATTTGAACACCGAGAATAACACCCACGACGAGGGCGCGTGTGATTTGCTCGTGTGGTTGCTCGGTTGCCTTCATTGCCTTAGTTGTGTGAGGCCGTTGGTCTATTATATACAGCGAATAGATGGGAAAGCATAATAATAATAATAATTATTATTATTATTATTATTATTATTATCATTATTATTATTATTGTTATTATAATTATTATTTTTTTTTGTTTATTATTTTATTTATTTATTCATTTTTTTTTTTTATTTATTTATTATTATTTTTTTTTTTTTTTTGTGTGTGTGTGTGTGTGTGTGTGTGTGTGTGTGTGTGTGTGTGTGTGTGTGTGTGTGTGTGTGTGTGTGTCCGCGCGCGCATGTGTGTGCGTGCGTGTGTGTGGCAGAGAGAGAGAGAGAAAGAAAGAGCGGGCGGGGGGAAGACAGGAAGAAAGAGAGAGAGAAACAGATAGATGACGCGAGAAAGCGATAGGAAGAGGGGAAGTGGAGGCAGAGAGAGGCGCTGAGGGTATCTGTCCACGCAGCGCCTCCCGTGTTGGTCGTGGCCAGCAGTGAGGGCAATCTGACATCCCTTCCGGTGCGAGATAAAGGCCTGGCCATGTGTCACTGTTTCCCTCCGCTTGTTCTGGCCTGCATGGCCCGACGCTCGCACGGCCACACCTTGGGCCACGCCCTTATACGCACACAAACACACGCGAACTCACATATGCAAATACTGTACCCCGTAAGTACGCACGCAAGGATTTATTTGCATACTTAATACACAATGTAAAAAGATTTTACAGTACACGACACATTAAGAAACGATAACAACAGCGCACACGCACACACACGCACGCACACACACACACACACACACACACACACACACACACACACACACACACACACACACACACACACACACACACACACACACACACACACACACACACACACACAAAGCCACATGCATACTCACGCGCACTAAACATACAATAAACAGTGTACGGCTCACAGCATAAGCATCCGCGAAGGCACCCAATACATAAATAATATGAATGAATAATTTCACACTAAAAGACATGTATATAAAATCACACACACACACACACACACACACACACACACACACACACACACACACACACACACACACACACACACACACACACACACACACACACACACACACACACAGAAGCAACCGCATAAATACAAACACGACAATCCAATTTTCACCTGTGATTTCAAATTTCACACTACCCCAGGACACCTATTACAGGGCAAGAAGGGGAGAGGGTAGGGGGGAGGGGGGAGAAGGATAAGGGTATGCGCGTACCCACTTTCATACCACGCTGGCTCCCAGTCTTTACCAAACGCGTTTTATGCACACATTTTGCTCGGGGCTCTCTGTGCTGACTGTCGACTTGGTTGTTCGGTGGAAGAGGCCATTTTACGGTTGAATGGCTACGTCGGGGGGGGGGGGGGTGATGATGAAAAGGAGGAATAGAAGGATTTGTGAGTAGAGAGAAGGAAATTGAGAGAAGGGAAGAGGAAGATGGAGCGAGAGAGAGAGAGAGAGAGAGAGAGAGAGAGAGAGAGAGAGAGAGAGAGAGAGAGAGAGAGAGAGAGAGAGAGAGAGAGAGAGAGAGAGAGAGAGAGAGTGTAGGCGAGTGAGTTGGAGAATAAACGAGTGAAAGAGAGAATGATAGAGAATAAGCGCGAGAGTGTACAGAGAGAAAGTGAAAACGTGTTGGTTGATAAAAATGTAGATAGCGACAATAACGAAAAAAACAGCGATAAGACAACAAACAATGGTTCAAAAATAGTTTAGAAGCGAAGGAAATAAGGCGACTTTAGACGAAATATAATCTAAAGAATAACGCTATATATTTTCATGTCGAATGATTTCTGAATATTTATTTTATCCTTTCGTTGTTGTTTTTTTCTCTGACTGTGAAGGAAATGCATTGCCTCAACGAAGGTAACAGGAAATGGTCAAAAGTCCTAAGGGTTTTCTGTGTATTGTAGTCACGACTATGTGTATTCAATTACAAAGTCATTATTGAAGACGTCCGCTACGAGGCCAAGGCAGGAGACTGTCGTGGAAGGTAAAAGTAATTGAATGATTTTCCTTTTTTTACGGTGTGTGTGGGGGGATCGGGGTGGGGGGAGGAGGAGGAGGAGGGATGTGTTCTTCCGGTGTTTGTGTTTTCCTATTTCGTGATATTCGTATTTGTCTTCGTGAACAGATAGGGATGGATAATTTCTTTTTTTTTCTGTATCTTTAAGTGATATATGAAGATGGCTTTTCCAAGATGCTTATAGTATAAACATTTCCACGAGTTAATGATTTCATTATGAAAACGATATTTTCCCCCTTCTTCTGTGAGAATATACGCTTCCAAACAATCCACCAAACCTCAGATATAAGAACAAATAAAACAAATCTCTAAATAAAAAAAAATAAAAAAAATCCCCCAGACACAGAATAGTCATCCCTAAAAACCAACTTAGCGCGAATTGTCAAAAATAACTAAATTCATGATGCATCCGGCTCCCCCCCCACGCCCTCTTTACATTAGTTATTTACTTAGTTGGTGAAATTAGTTGTTGTTTTTTATTATTACAACTATTATATTATTATTATTATTATTATTATTATTATTATTATTATATTATCTTATTTGAATATTGTTACTATTATTGTTATTTTTTTCTTATTATTATTATTATTATTATTATTATTATATTATTATTATTATTATTATATTATTATTATTATTATATTATTATTATTATATTATTATTATTATATTATTATTATTATTATTATTATTATTATTATTATTATTATATTATTATTATTATATTATTATTATTATATTATTATTATTATATTATTATTATTATATTATTATTATTATTATATTATTATTATTATATTATTATTATTATATTATTATTATTATTATTATATTATTATTATTATATTATTGTTATTATATATATATATATATATATATATATATATATATATATATATATATATCAAGTATGCATGTGTATGTGCATGTGCGTGTGTATGTTTACGCGCAACCTTTCTAAGACCGAATGTGCGTGTAGCGCACTGTGTTTACAAACAAAATTATGTTTAAGTCTATGTATGCAATATATTGATATTACAACACGATGTGACTTCAAGGTTTGATTATGAACCTTATAATTAAGTATTAGGAAATATATACATTTTTTTCAAAATGCATAGGATTAGAGATTCATTTGAATAAATGTGATGATTTAAAATTTATAGTGAGCTTCGGATATTTGAATTATGCTGTTTAAGTATAACTCCCATGTGTGTATGTATGTGTGTCTGTGTTTGTGTATTTGTGTTTTTGTGTGTGAATACATCATACATACATGCATGCATGCATAGGTACGTACATACATACACGAGACATACATGAATGTGCGAGCACTCATAGTATCCATGTCTTCAATACCCGATAAACCTCTACAAGAAATTTGTCTTCACATGGTACATTTTTAGCTCAAAACTTATATTTTCATGCAGTATTGCCTCATAAAGATAGCAATAAATAAATGTTCAAGTAAATGTGGGTCATGCGTTAGGTTTTCTTCGAGAGAAATCGTCTAGAATTTGAAGGTGTAGGTGTGAAAACAGGTGTTCCCAAGCGCAGGTGTGACTCGAGCCTCTTGTGCAGGTAGACCAGGCGATGTATAAAACCTTTAGATTGATCTTTATGGACAATTATATGGTGTCATAACGGCAATACCAGTGCACACACATTTTTGAAGGTCACATGAGTTGCACTTTTAATTTAATCTCGTATATTATGTATAGCGTTTTTATACTTGTGAAATTCCCCTGCGTAAATCTCATTTCAGGACGCCACGGTCAGCAAGTCTCCCTCTCATAAAGAAAGAAAAAATGCATAATACACATATTTTGACTGACTAAATTGGCCAATTGACTGACTGACTTAACCCACCCGTTCGTTCGTTGCAGGAGGCTTTGCGAGCGGCCAGCGAAACGGACTGGGCCGGCGTGCTCGAAAGTAGCGGCATGGGTGGAGCGAACGGGGTCGTCCTCAACGACAGGCTCATGACCGAGGCTTCGCTGGGCGTGATTTCGCAGCTGAGTTCCCTGGGCTCCCTCAGCACCCTCGGCTCCATCAGCACCATCCTGGCGGCGCAGCAGCAGGAGACGCCGACGGTCAAGGTGGAGCATTCGTACAGCCTGTCGAGCGAGCGGAGCGAAGCCGACTCGTCCCTCTCAGGTGAGGCCAATTTCTCGCTTCAGGTTTTGCTTTTCCTTCCGCCTTGTGATTCAGTCTGTTCTGGATCGTTATTGCTTTTATTGTGATTGTTGATGGTGTCTAGCGATTGCTTGTGACCATTTTGTATCGTCTTAGTGTCTAAATGAGAGTAATAACGTTTTGTATTTTTTTTCCTTTCTTCGTCGTGTATTCTTTCCT